GGGGCCCAGCGCAGCTGATGTGATAGTAGGTGGCTTTTGTTGTTAGCTACGATACGCAGCAGCCTTCCCCACACATCTAGTGGAGATCAATGACCCTAAGGTGGGCGACTTACTAAGGAGCATACATAAGGTAGGCGTCCAGTCCAGATTAGGTTGAGCTACCGCGATAATTCGAGTGGCCTCCTTTCCGCGAAGATCGACCATGAGGTTATTTTCTTTTTTTTTCTTTTTTTTTTTCTCTTTTTTTCCCCCCCTTCGTTGCTAGGGACTTGACGTCCATTGGAACATCTGATGGCAAACTGTGAAAAGGAAGTCAGCAGGTGCTAGAGGGGAAGAAAAAAAAAATAAAGAAAAAAGAAAGAGAAAGAAATAAGAAAGGGAAAAAGAAAAAAAAAAAAAAAAAAAAAAAGAAAAAGGAAGAAAAGAATAAGAGACTGTTTTCTCAGTACCTTGCTTTAGATATATATTGCTGTTTTTCCTTCTACCTTCCTGTTGAAACATGATTATCTCCACGTACCTAACAGGACAAAGGAAAGCACTCATCTTAGTACTGAATCAGTAGAGGAAGGAAAAGCGTATAATTCTAAGTGCAATAAAGGCATAGACGCACGTAAATACAAGACGCTGAACCAGACTTTATGCAAGTTCCTAGGATACGCACATTACCAGCTGCACTGGCTATAGTTCTCGGAAGGGTTAACCGAAGTGTCGAGGCATCGGACTGGAGTAGGTACCTTACGCAGCTACATACCCGAAGGAAAGATATCCGGGTTTTTCGACCTCAGTGCGGCCCGTTCACATATGGCGTTTAACACAAAGCGACGCTTGCTTTATATGGACTTACTGATGTAGGCTCCCAATAAATCGGGATAGGGTGTAGAGGTAGTTAGGGTAGCCGGTATTTTGACGGAGGGAAATCGGTATACACTTATTGCCCGCCCTCATTAACACAACCACGAACTTCTAACCACTGACCCTAACTTACCCATAATCCTAACTTCCTAACACGACCCTAACCCCCTAGCCCTTACCGCCTAACCCGAGTACTCGAGTTAAGTACGTCTTTATACGATTTTTATTCGTTTTTCTAGAGCCTTTTTAAGCCTTCTAAAAAGGTAGGATATGTTATTAGGGTGTGGAGCGTGAGCTGACTAATACACAGCGCACTGACGTTTTTTGTAAGTAAGTGGGCGATATACCGATTTGAGTCCGTCAAAATACCGCGCTACCGTAGTTAGGGTCGCTTTAACGCCTCTATGAACGCCGACGATGAGAAGCGTAGCATTTGCCCGTCTGGGCATATCAGGAAAACAATTCCGATTGGGGAAGGCCAAAAGGGTACTCAGTTCATCATCTCTCTCCTGCTAAGGTACTGTGTGGTATGTAGATGAGGTAACCTCTGTGGCTACTAGATAGGCGTAAGAGGACCTATGTGATCAGCAAGGTCCCGTGGTGCCTGGGCAGTGGCGTTAAATACAAGAAACGCTAGAATAATATCTAATCTTATAGCCATAAAGGTAGTAAGATGCTACCCTAGAAAGGAAGGCGGCGGTAAGGTGTTAGATGCAGAGTTCGACTATATTGGAGTTAGATTGAATTCTATCCCCATGTATTGAATATTGTGGTTATAAGGTGTTTGGAACCCTTTCCCCCTCAGCCGGCATTGTCGTATTCCTTGCTATTTGGTATATTCACTCCTCTATATCGGCTGCTTTTAACTGAGCCTGAAAGTTAACTAGTATATACCCACTTTTCCAGCCCCTTCCCTTATCTGCCTCATAGGACGTACCGCTCAGGTAGTGGAACCCTAGGCATTAAGTATGGAGGTTTACTATTCCTACGCCTCCTCGATGGTGTGTAAATGGCCCTGAGAACAACGTGGCGACTAAGTAAACAATTTTTTCATGTACAGGTATAATCTATTAGAAGGGGATTCGGGACATGTGAGGCAGGCATAGGATAGGGCCTCATCCGCCCCTAATCACCTAATGTTTCTAATAAGTAGGTGCTATCCTATCCCTTTTACAACATTGTGATCATTGGACTCGCTTATCAGGTGCGCGACCCTGTGACCTAACGCGGTCCTCTTTTCTCCCCTTCCCTTTTTGTGACCCCTTTTCCCTATTATATCTTTGTAACTATCGTCCACCTATCCATTACGATCTACCTTATCCTACCTTTTACCTGGCGAACAACTGGCCTTTAAGTGTCGCCCGGAACTGATATAAGTGGCAAGCCGCAGCCTAGTGGACGTTGTATGTCTCAGATATACAGCTTTATCATCTCCCAGTAGTATATAATAGAATGGAATCATACCATGAGGGAAATACGGGGATATCCCCTTTGACCTCCAAGGCTGAAGTGAGGTAAGTCAGCTTAAGCCCTTAGACGTAGAGGGCCATGTGTAGGGCTATGCTGTGCGGGCTGTTTTTTGCAAGGAAGCTGCGAAAATAAGTAAATGGTATGACTGACGAGAGCATTAAAGATACAACTGCTGGCCATCGTCAGGCCCATCTATAGAAGACATGTTCGCCAGCAACCTGGGACATGAGACGGCCGTCCCAGAGGGGTGGGACGTCGCGTACGCAGGGACCGCGCCAGCGATCAAGCTACCCATCGAGATCTGGCTACACATTGCAGACATGGCCTCGCTTCGGGACCCACGCGAGTGGTGGACGACGGTAGCTAGACTAGCACAGGTCAACATGTATCTCAACATCCTGTTCCAGGGTACCTTATACCGTCGGGCGGTGCGCCTGCGTCTGCCGCACATCACCATCGTGGCCGCAGCAGAAGGCAACTTAGCCACGCTCCGGACAGCGGCCTGGTATGGGGCGGGTCTCAGCGGGAGGCTGTGTGGACTAGTTGTCCACGACAGGCCGAGGACCGAGGTGTTAATAGGGGGCATACCAGGGCTTCCGTACGGTTCTTGGACGTCGCCGCTCCATGCGGCGTGCGCGCGCGGGAACTACGATACCGCCGCATGGCTCCTGAAGTAAAGGGTCGACATGGAGGGGGTGGCCGACATGACCTGCCTGTGCATAGCTAGTGCCGGTCGCCACATATCCGGGGAAGGGGTGTCAGGCCTGGAGGGATGCCACCCCAGGTCAACGCCGCTCCACATAGCGATCTGCCATGGGTATGAGTCGATCGCTAGGCTCCTCCTGTCAGCGGGGGCGGACCCGCGCAACGTCCTTGTCCACAAGGACCACGGCGGGCGGCAAGAGGGGCAGGGCGCCGAGGCGTCGCCGGCGGCCAGTGCTGCTGCGGGAGATACCGGCACGAAACGGCAGCTCGGCGGGCCTCGGAGCAGTGCCAGTGACAAGATCTGTCGCGGGGTAACGGCCTTGCACACAGCGGCGGAGCATGGTCAACGGGGGATGGTGGAGCATCTCGTGCGGGACGTCGGGTTGTCGGTGGACAAGATGGATTGCTGGCATCGTACGCTACTGTGCTACGCGGCGATGAGTGGTATCGGTTTCCCGGCGGTGCAGGCCTTGCTCCATCTCGGCGCGGACCCGAGAGGAGGCCAATCACGTGACCTATCGGCAATGTCCGGACCCCGCCCGGAGTGCCGAACCCCACTAGACTGGGCACTGCTCTACGGCAGGAAGAACGCCGCTCTCTTTCTGCTCGACGCCGCTGGCCTTGCGTGGCATGATAGAGCGCGGCCGCGCGGGCAACCGAACGGGAACGGGGACGGCAACAGCAGCGGGTACGGGAACGGGAGTGGGGGCAGGAGCGACCCAGTCTTGAAGACGCTGTTCCGTTTGCTCAAGAAAGGGCGTATATTGACAAGGGTACGGACGGAGCTGGTTGAGGGAGTGACACCGTTCCTGGGGCTGTGGATCCAAACCACCCGTCGCAACTACAGAGCGAGCCTGGGACATGGTGACGTTGACTCCGAGTTGTGGACGGCCTATTTCTACGCGCTGCAGAACATGGATCTACAAGAGGACGTCTTGGAGGAATTGCGTCCGTCTGGGCCTGATATCAGGCTCCACACCTTCGACCAGGAACTCGGTCTGCTCGGGAGGGACGCGCATAAACCTTTTCTAGATCGCGCATTCGTGTCTTGCGGCACGATGGCTCTCTGTTTCGTTATTGGCGACGTCAGCCCAATGCCGGCTACCTATATCCAAAATCGCGTCCGCTGGTTATTAGACAAGGGGGCCCAGGCGGCGATGAGGACCGTTGCGGCTGACGAACCGCTCCCCATGGCATGCATCTTTGCGAGGATGGCGGCGGTGGCTACAGCCAGAAGGGGCGATATTCCTGCGGGATGGTCCTGGGAATCAGGGCCCGCCCGAGGGCCCTTGCGTGCCACAGCACGCAAGGAGCTGATGCGGCTACTGGCCGTTGCAGAGGACCTCGTGGAGACGAACGGCTGGAATGGCTGTACTGTGGGTGGTTCGCCCTGCTATGAGAGCATGATGACGGTCTGTCGGGCGTACGTCAGGATGGTAGGCGCTGTTAATAGCGTCTCTATACCGGATGCGACAGCTATTCGACGGCGGATGCAGAGCATGATGCCTGCGTCAGTGAGATTGGTGGTGTCTGGTATGATGAGGTAGAAGGAGCAGGTAGGGAGCTGTGAGACTTTGAAGTCTTTGCTGGGGATAATGATATGTTGAGTGGTACCTAAGTAGGGTAGTATAAGAACAACGCATAAGTCTTTTCGCTTTTATTTATATGAGTAATATTCACAGTACTACATACCCCTGTTTATCTGGATAGAGTATGATGTAGTTAGCCTCTTGTACGCTGTACCTAGGTATGAGTACTGAGGTAGGTGGAGATAGGCTAACAGTGCCGTTTGCGCTCCGTAAGCCGGTTAAGGGGTGGGAGGGTTTAGAAGTACAGGGTACTTCCGATAGAAATATAGGGCTGGTATTATTATAAAATAGAGGCAAACGATGAGGAAAGTAAGAAAAACCCTAAGAACCATGAATACGTATAGAGCCAAGGTTATAGCGATATGGCCATCCGTAGCCGTTTGTTCATCTAAGACAGAGCATGTCGCCATTTTTCACATGAGACACCGCAACAAGGACTAGCAGATTTACGCCACCAACAGCTAAGAACTTGGCTTCCAGCTCGGATGGCCGGGAACCGGTGGGCGGCGCCAGCAGCATCCGTAGGAAGGGGTTGGTCTTGTCGATGCGAAGGGCCACGCCGGGCGCCACCCGTACCTCGTCTCCGATATCACGCCAGCGAAGGGTAGCCGTGGGCTCGGGGGCAGCGGAGGAGCTATCTAGCACAAGCTCGCCGGGGACGACGCTTACGATGTCCCCCGCCGTGATACCAATATCGTCAGGGTTGGTGTCGGGGGAAGAGGCGCTTCCCGTATGACCCAGCACGGGAACATCAGGGTGACGGACGGCCTGCAGCCGCGGCGTCATCGCCGTCGAAGTTCTGGTATAGGAGATACGGACGAAGGGGTGGGGAAGCTCACAATGCTGTCGGAAGGAACATTCGCGCTCCGGGCCGGGGCCGCTCCGGTGGGTGCAGATGGCGCAGCCGTCCACGCGGAGGAGGCTGAGGAGGCTGAGACCGTCTGGCCCAGGCCTGCTGATGGACGCCGAGAGCTTGTCTGCCAGTCCCCATGCGTGGGTGGCGAGGCGCTCGGGGCCGGACATGGGTCTTGGCGGCTGGGGGGCCTCTGCTGCCAATGCCAGGCGGGCGACGGACTCGACGTCGAGCCCGAACAGGGGATCCGCCTGTTCGCCTTGGACGACTCTCGCGAACAGCCGGCCGAAGGCGGCCAGCCGCCTGACGGCGTTGTCCCCATCCCCACCCGCCTCCTCGGAGGCGAGGCTGACAAGCCGGCGAGCCAGGCCCTGCGAGTCTGACAGGGTGAGGCCGAGCTTTCCGGCGGGGAGGACGGGGAGGAAATCCAGACCGTCGCCAGAGACCATGTCCAAGATGCGGCCGGTGTAGAGGCAACGGCTGATGTCGGCCCTTTGCAGACAAAACGCCCTCGACTTGGTATCCGCGGAGGAGGGGTCGACGCCGAGCACCTCGCAGGTGAGGCTGTGGATGTCGCTGCGGCTCCGGTACACGGCGGCGCTGTCGGGCCCAGGCATCTTGAGGCGCCTGCTCAGCTGGATGTGGGCGAGCCTCGTCCGGTACCTGGCGAGGGCCTCGTGGCACTTGGCCTGCTGGGTGTTGCGGTAGAGAATGACGCGGTTCTCGCACGGAGGGAGGTGGAGCGTCGAGCTCGTCGCGGCGGCGCGCCAGGCTTGCAACAGGGCCACGCACTGTTCGACGCCACGGGTGACGAGGGAGTTCAAGATGGCCTCAACCCTGTCCACGGCCAGGGCTGGCTCGGACGGATGCTGATTGGCCTCCTCGCCGGAGGGGGGCTTGTGATTATCGGGGCCGTCCCGGGTGCATGTCTCGGACCTCTCTCCAAGACTGCCCAGGGTGGTATTACGGGACACTTCGCTGTCGGTGTCCTCCTCGTCCCCATGGTCCGCATCGTCAGTATCGTCCGTATCGTGTACATCATCCGTATCGCTAGTACTGATATCCCTGGCGTTGTCGTCGTTGTCGCGGGGCTCGTCTCGCGGCGCGGCGGGTGGCTCCCAAAGGCGTGTGACCGTCTGCGGTGTGACGAGGATTGGGTTATATATCGGGCACATCCGCTTACTGGCATGCTGGGCTGCAGCATGGGCTTGGCAGGTATCGGCTGATGTGTTGTCGTCGTCGTCGTCGTCGTCGTCGTCGTCGTCGTCGTCGGGGGGGTCGGTGGTCCTGGATCGTTTGGCTGACGACGTCTTCTCGTTTGGACGTGCTTCGCGCGGTAGCGTCAACGCCACGTCGCTCATGCCACCGCCACCACCAGGCCGACGCCCGGCGCGGGGTTGCGGCGATGGTGGGGCCGGCCCCCCGTCGGGTGTGGGTCCATCCCCGACCTCGTCACCGGAAGGCGGCGGGGAAGGAGGGATGGCTTTCCGGCGGCCGCGCCTTGCGGGAGGATTATCCAACCCCCCCGCGGTCGATTGGGGACCGCCCAGGACGTCCCCGCGGTCTTGAGGCCGGCTCTCGGGCAGCTTCTTCCGGCCGGGACCCGCGGCAGGGTTGTGGTGAGAGGAGGCGTCGTCATGAACGGCGGCTGCCGAGTCGTCTGCACACGCGCCCCCGGGCGGATGGAGGGTCTCGCAGGTATCGCCGCAGGCACGGAGGTCGCCCGCATATGGGCTGCTTGCGTCCGCCGCAGGGGCCGGGATAGTGACGACCTGCGATAGGCAGGGTCCGGAGTTAAACACCTGGAAGTAGGTGCCGGGGGGCACGACAGCGACATCTCCTTCGACGCAGCGGAAAACACAGTAGGTCACACCCCACTGGTCGAGCACGGCTCTGGTGACGAAGATCTTGTCGTGGAGGAAGAACTGCGAGCAAGGCATGATGGGGTTCCCACGCCCGGGTTGTTGGTGCTCGTCCGGTCGTTTCCCCCGTGACGGCCTGGAGAGGATGGCCCTCACGCAGTCCTCAAGCTTGCGGCTGGACGCGGGCTTGACGACGAGCCAGACCTTGGGCCCCCCGCGGAAGACAATGTCGATCGTGGCGGAGGATGATCGCTGCAGGTACATGCCGGGACAGCTGAACGCCGCCGGGGAGTTGACGAGCGTGGCCGCCCCGTCTTTGGAATCGCTGATCAGGGCGGGGTTGGTCAGCCAGCTGTCGCCGGCGAACCCCGCCTCACCGTAGACGCCGGTGAGGTAGGATGTGGTGGTGGTGGGGGCGGGCGGATGGGAGAAGGCATCAGCTATATCGGCCTGGGTAGGTGGGTCCTGGGTGGTGGGCGGCGCCCTTGTTTGGCGTGAAGCTTCCACTGGCGGACGTGGAGTGCGGCGACGTGGGCTCGTCTTGATGACGACGGCCTCCTGGTGGTCAGGCTTTGGCATGTCGAGGACTGACACGCCGAGGGTCCTCGACGTGTGGAAGGTGCACGTCTGGACGCGGACGGGGGGGTCGGCGAGGTCTAGCAACGGCTCGGCCCGCCCGCCGCCTTCTTCTGTCTGGAGGTGAAGTTTCGCGAAGCCCATCCCGGTCGACACGGGGAGGCGGAGGATTCGAGCGTAGCTCTCCGCCTCCATGAACTTGAAGACCTGCCAGGGAAGGTTCATCGTCACATCGGCGGCCGGGACGAAGATGGTTACGGGGGAGGGCCCGGCGGAGGGCCCGGCGGAGGACGGCGGGGTTTGTGGCCTTGCCTCGGTATCTCCCTTGGCCGCTGGCGAGGTTATATCCGGTGTCACAAGCTTCGGTACAACGGTGGAGTGGAGTGGGGAGGATAGTGTTGAGCTAAAGGGCCGGGCTGGCCGTGGGTCTTGCCCCCTCGGGGCTTCTCGGTCGCCGGGGAGAAGGGCGTCGTGTGCGGCTCGGGCTTTGGACCCGCACAGGGCCCGGCTTGGATGGGGTAGGTGATTGCGGCGTGACGCGGGAGACATGGGCATCTTTATTGGTCTTGCGGAGGAGGAGGGGGAGGAGGCGCAGGATGGAAGTAGGTGTTGGGGGGGGAAGCGGGGGGCGCGAGAGGGGTTAACAGGACGCAGGTAGAGGCCTGAGGGTGGTGGACGTATGGATAGGTGCCCAATACGGTACCTTCGCGGGTGTGGTGCGTCTGGGAGATATGTAGCGAGGTGGACCTACGTTACCCAGGCGAGTATATAGATAGGTACTTAGGTGGCGGACACTTGATAGGGAGGCCGCGACCGTGTACGGGCGATAGGGGCGACGCGTAGCCAGGGGCAGGAAGGGCTCGTGGTCAGCCGCCAGCGAGTACTGATAGTCCGCGGGGGGCGGGAAAGTGGTGGAATATGCGGTTGAGAAGCCCACGAAGACAAACGGGTGCTAGGAATAGGGCGTGGTGGGTGATACAGGCTTGCTATTGAGACAAAGCAGAAACCTACGTGTATATAGGGCAGGGGTCGTTATGAACAAGTTTAGTAATAGGTTTTTGTGTACCAGTCTGCTTGATATGATAGGCTGAAATTTCCGGACCCACCTCTCTAACGAATCAGGACGCGTTAACTACAGTCGGGTATTAGTACTGCCGAGCGCCGAAATTAGCTCGATAGGGTACCCAGATGGATAGACATATATACAACCCCAAGCCCCTAGACAGGTAGGTTTCATCAGAGTGGTTCGAGAAGAAGCTGTTCGGATAAGGTTTATACAGCAGTGCAAGACTCCGGGAAGTGAAATACTTGTCCCTAACCATCTACTTATCCAGGAAGAGGAAAGCGGGGAGAGGTACCGCGGGCTACGAGAACATGCTTAGGGTGTGTGTGTGGGGGCCGGCAGGACCAAAGACCTGAGGTAAGAAGACATAGGACGGGAATCCGTATTCAACAGCTACCGGCTGTTTCCTCGGAGGTGTAGTAGCGCTAGGAGAGTTCTAAGGTTGAGGCACGACTCAGGGTCGAGATATTAAAGTACTAGGGAGAGGAGGACGAGGCGGGTGGGGGGTTACGCAGGGGAGAGGTACGTATAGATACCTTAAGATAAGCAAGAAGCTGGAGGTCGATTTAGTATAGCTGGTACAATTGTCGACGACAGAGCTATGTGGGCCATGTAGATAACTACAGGGCGAGGATTGCTATACCTGGGGGCAAGACTAATACAAAGGCCTAGGTTTTCTGTTAATATGGTAGGTTGACTGCGGGGCTACATGGCTACCGAGGCACAGGCTGTATAAGATAGCTACTTACTAGCAGCTTACCTAACGGCAGGGCCACACGAGTGGGATGGAGATAGGGGCGTTATATATCCTTTTCTAATGGCGTTAATATGTTCTAATGTAAGTTGCTTTAAATGTTTTGGTATTGACGTGGGACCCATGCTGCGGAGCTTGCTGGTATATGTATCCTAGTACTAGTCGCCTGGACTACATCGGCTATACGCTAAATCGAGAAAAGCTGCAAAGTAGCAACTTCAAGAGGGGGTAGAGAAAAGCGCTGTTTTGTCGTCTCGGGGTCTGTATTGGCCTAGTCCAAGGGGAAGGGCCTTGCTAAACTACCTCAGGGTTACCTGGGAACACTGGGTAACTAGGTGAGGCTTCTGGGAAAGGGACGTATGATTGTCTCCTGCTGATAGAAGGGGAACTTATAGCGAGGCGGGGGGCACCGTACAGAATTGGTCATAGATATCTAGGCACGGAATCAGGAGAGGGTGGCTAATAAAGGTGCTCCAGGAGAGGTTCCCTTTTCTTTTCTTTTCTTTTTTACCTTTCAGGCAGCTATCACGTGATCCTGCCTATGTGCAGGTACAACTGCCAGAAGGAACCAGGAGCGAGTAAGGGTCATTCAGCCAGGTGTGCCCACTCAGCGCCTGATGATGGGAGGTAGTCTGTACTGCTGGACCGAATGGTATCATTGCGGCCTTGGGAGAGCGGGGCGGGGGGGCTCTGTCCATCCGAGACAGGGACAGTACGCAGCTCTCGGCTGTAGCGCGTGAGATGTATGGCAGCTAGCCCGTCAGAGCCACAAGGGGCGACCGAGCCTTCTCGCATTTAAGTAGATGCACGAACGATTGTCGGCGAGGAAGGCCCTGGCGAGGGAGATAACGGGCAGGCCAAGAACGACCGTTTGTTAAAGTCAGTCGAGGGCGTGCACACGTCCGACTCTAGACTGCTCCTGGGAGCAGGGGGACCAGGTGCTACAGGCTGCGGTGATGGCGGTGGGGGCGAGCCGGCGATAACGGGATTGTTGGAGGCGAAGGCCGGCAGCTTGACCGCGGGCGGACTCACAGGTGCCGATTGGGAGGAGGTGCTGCGACGCCCGTCGACGTCGGGGCCCACGGGACGGGCAGCGGGGGACATGACCGTTGCACGCGTGACTGGGGTGCGGAGAGGCCTCGAGGACTGCTCCAGAGAGACAGCGTATGGCGAAGAGATGGTTTCGGGGCGAACAACGTCTGCTAACTGGCTCATGGGAGAATCCTTAGGGTTGATCCCTTGCTGTGAGGCGGGTGCATCCTTAGCAAGCGCGGCTGGCGGGGGAGGCGATGGCGGGTTCAAGGTGTTCTTTGCGCCCGGCCTAGCATCAGCTATTGTCTGCGGGGAGGCGGAATAGGCCAGTGGCATCTCATCCACTGACGTAATCGCTGATCTGATATCCCGTTGCGGGTCAGCGTGGGTTGGAAAGGCCAGGTCTGCGACAGGATGTGGGGACGGCGGCTGTTTGGATACGTTGGATCGGGCTGGGCTTGTAGTGGCAGGATGCTCTGGAGGACTCGGCTCATCATTGGGGGGCGCCGGCTGTTCGGATAGGTGGACCGCAAGGCTTCACAGAGGAAGACAGGAGCCCTCTACCAGGCTCAACTTTAGGCGATCCAAGGACGTGAGGAGTGCCAGGCGTGATCCTTTGGGGTTCTCTTGCGGCGGATGATGGGGGCGGGCGCGTAAGCTGGACGGACGGGCTGACGGCTTCGGATTGACGCTTGCGTTTCCGAGGAGGCTGGACCGAGGGTGGGCCGCTGGATGGGGATGTGCTGCTGAGAACACGCTTCCTCGCCCGGGCCGGTCGTGGGGCTGGCTCCGAGGAAGAAGGAGGCTCGCCAGCTGGGCAGGGGCCGGCTGCTCCGCTGGGGGAGTATGGGATGGCAATCGGACTCGACTGCCTTGCTAGACGCCCATGGCTCCCACGAGCAGGCCTCGTGACAGCTATGGGGATGACGGAATCCGAGTCGGACAGATTCATAGCGATACCTCGACGGCGACGACGGCGAATTCAGTACCATAGCGCAAGTTGTCGCTGATTTACCGCGTAGCTAGCACGGTTAGATATAGTAATGCGTTGCTTGTATCCAGACTGAGCTGAGGGGGTTAGGCGTGGGAGTTCCCGGTGGACGGCTCACTCTGTAGTACTAGGTACCTCTGTCGCCTGAGATGAGGGTTCAGATGGTGTCTTAGCTGGAGTGAGGGGATGGGAGGTTGACGACGGCTTGGCTGAGGGGAAGTTGTTTCTTAACGCGACATAGGTCTCATATTGCTCCTACCCTTCAATCAGCATATCCATAAAAAACCGTCTGTGCTTACCAAGCGCATCGTACGAGGTGGAAACATACGCTCCTGCTGAACGATCTGGCTGTGTGCTTGCTGATGCGGGCTGCAGGGACAGAGCCGTGGATATCTGCGGGGGGTGGGGGTGGGGGGAGATGTTAGACAGATATAATAGAACTATCTACATGAGATAGGTAGGCACATTAGGGATAATGATAGGATACCTAGATCGGTAACCTGAGATGTGTAACCTTGTGAAATAAGAGCGCGGCGGTAGCTACGGCTGCTAAGGGCGACGGCGAGACGTAACAGAAGGAGGTTGCTGCGAAGCTTACAGGGGCTAGATATAATAGGGTGTGGGAGGAGATGTATCATGTTGACCTGGCGTTACAGGGGGAGGGGATTTCAGGTTAAGTTAAGTGTGGCCAGGGTATAGGACAGAGACTATTAATGATTGGTGTAATAGACATATATAGATAGTAATACCTAGTACCCTATAAAGGGGAAAATGTAGGAGCTGAAATAGGATAGTTTTGGGGTATGACGAAGGACATTTCAGGAAGTGCTGGGGAGGAAATAGGTATTCTGATCGCCTCAGCTCATTCAATAAGAAGATTGATCACTGTGCTAGGGCGGAATACAACCTGCGGAGAGAGTTTAGGTGGTTAATAAACGGAAAGGATAATGACGCCATAGGCGGACTTGTATTCCGAAAGTGGGATGTATGAGGGGCTGAGGTACGGGCTGTGGGTCGCGAAACCAGTTCATAAGCTAATATATGAACGAGGGTGTTAGAGACGCCGGACCGGCTTGCACGTAGCATAATAGGCGTGGGCGTCGAATCAGACAGGTAGAGGCGCTTTACTTTACACATATATGTATATAAAAATGACTGCTGACGTCTTCCGAAGGAAAGCAAATCTAACTATCTAATAATAATAATAAAAAAAAAGGGCGTTCTGTTTAGGTTTAGGCAGAGGAAATGTGCGGCTTATACTAGATTCAATAGAGTATATACGTGAGACAAGCTTATTTCTATACATGAGTGCAGGTGCTCATAACATGGTAAAAGCCATCCATGGATGTAATTTATAGCTCCAAGCCCTTTTTTCTTTTTCTTTTTTTTCTTTTTTTTTGTTTTCTCTTTTTTTTCTTTTTCTTTTTGGAATTCCTTTCCCTTGCTGGTCTTACGTGACTGAGGTAGGTAGCTGATAGGGAAAGCGATCGCGGAGCAGATCTACCATTAGTTGAATAAGTCTGTGACTAAGAGTGGTAAGGCTGTGAGGATCTTAGATATAGCGCCCGAGGCGTGAGATGGTGCGCTAGCTATGGTTATGATACGACGGCGAGCCTTTACGTATAGAGGTGGGAGCTGTCGATTTGAGAGTTGGATGGGGAGCGATGTGAGGGGGATGAAAGAAGTGCCAAGCCAGATCGCTTGTTGAAGTCCGT